CTGAATCTGGCTTGAACCTTTGGCAGTTCCCTGTCAATGAACTGTTGCAGCCATTTCTGATTTATCTTGCATGTGATATTGTTGCAGACCATGTAGAAGTTCGAGGCCCACTGGGCCCGAGTGTCACAGGCCGCAAGCTCTGAGGAACAAATTAGGCCACTGGCAGTCATGGCAAATTGTTTTTAATCTTAATATCCAGTTAATTGCAAATATGAGCCCTTATTATCCACAGAGAAATATTAAAACCCCCTAAAGCCGAGACTGTGAGACTGTGATGTTTGCAAGGTCAAGCCTTCCTCCAAAGGATTAACTAAAAATATCTTAGCTACTTCTCGGTTCTTTGTTCTATAGACAAAGAAACCATCCTCCCTAATCCCTTTTCCAGGTGCAGCCCATTCACCTACCGCAGACCTGGCTGAGGAAGCTAAAACAGCAGGACTTTGCCCAAGCTTTTGTCCTTCCCTCTCACCTTGCCCCAACTTAGCTCAGGGGCTATAGATATGTTAATTGAGCCTGAGAAACCAAGTTGCTGGCCTGGGATTCGAACCAGCGATGTAAGATGTAAAGTTACCTGAAGGTCTGGGAAAGTACTGATGTTAGCTGTACCTTGCCTTGGTCCTTCCCAGCTTGGTGTGAAGCTCCTCCCCTAAATGAAACAGAGGCCCAGGGCGTCCCAGGTGTGCATTACAGGTTGGAGGGCATGCAGTAAGGATTGCAGGGCAGTGAGTTGCTGCCTGCAGAGGCCACGATGCCTGTGCTCCCAAGTCTGCCCATCAGTGATGTATCCACCCTGGATTTGGGGTGTCTCTCTGTCTCCCTCCTTCTGTCTGTGTATTCTTTCGCTATCACTGTCGCCGCTGGATATCCCCTCCTCGTGAACCAAACACTCGTGAACAAAACCTATGTCGAGGTCAGTCCCCGGCATGATATTAATGACATTTCTGCATTCCATCCGGTCGTCTTTCTTTGGAATGGGTACAAATATGAATCTCTTCTGATTATCAGTTGACCAGGTAACTGTCTTTCAAATTTCTTGACAGTGATGAGTGAGTGTTTCCAGTGCTGGATCATTTTGTTAAAAAATTTCAATTTGTATTCTATCAGTGCCTGGAGCCTTGTTCTTTGTCAATGCCTTCAGTGTACATTGGATTTCTTTCTTCAGTACTATCGATTCTTGATCACTGGCCATTTCTTTTTGGTACAGTGACTCTATGTGTTTCTTCCATCTTCCTTTGTTGCTTTCCTTGTCTTTCAACATCTTGCTCATAGAATCCTTCAATATTGTAAATCAAGGCTTGAATTTTTCCCTCCGTTCTTTCAGTTTGAGAAATGCTGAGTGTGTTCTTCCCTTTCAGTTTTGTAATTCCATGTCTTTGCACATTTCATTATAATATTTGACTTTTTTCTTTTTGAGTTGCCCTTTGAAATTTTCTGTTCGATGATTTTACCTCCTAATTTCTTCCACTTACCTTAGCATCTCTATTGTTGTTGTTGTTGTTGTTATGTGCCGTGGAGTTGGTTCTGACTCATCGCGACCCTGTACAGGGTTTCCAAGGCTGTAAATCTTTACGGGAGCAGAAAGCCTCATCTTTCTCCCGCGGAGCAGCTGGTAGTTTCAAACTGCTGACCTTGCGGTGTGGGGAGAAATTTTCTGAGGCTTCTCTGGCATCCATTTTGGTCTAGTCCTTCTTTCTTGTCTTCTTAATGAACATTTGCTTTCTTCCTGTATGATGCTCTTGATGACATCCCACAACTCTTCTGGTCTTGAGTTATTAGTGTCTAATGCATCAAATCTGTTCTTCAGATCTCTAAATTCAGGTGGGATATGTTCAAGGTCATATTTTAGCCTTTGTGCACTTGCGTGTGAGCAATTGAGGCCTGTTCCATCTGGCCTTGTTTTGGCTGATGATGGAGCGTTTCCACCATCTCTTTCCACAGATAAGTCAATTTGGTTTCTGTTTATTTCATCTGGTGAGGTCCATGTGGATAGTCGTCTTTTATGTTGTTTAAAAGAGGTATTTGCAATGACAATGCCATTGGTCTTAGAAAATTCAGTCATGCAATCTCATATTTCTATCACCAAAGCCATATTTTCCAAATATAGATCTTTCCTTTTCATTTCCGACCGTTGTATTCCAGTCACCAGTAATTATCAATATATCATGATTGAATGCTTGATCAATTTCAGATGGAAGATGTTGATCTGTTGTTATTGTTAAGTGTTGTTGAGTCAGTTCTGACTCATAGTGACCCTGTATAGGGTTCCTGAGGAGCAGATGGTGACTTTGAACTGCCGACCTTGTGATTCAAACCAACCTCGTGGTCGATAGGTTATCCTAGAACACCACACCAGGACTCAGAAGAGCTTGGCTTTCGTGGTTTGTGCACGAATTTGAGTAATAGTGGTATTAACTTGCCTTCCTTGTAGGCATATGGATACTATCCAATACAGACAGCATTGTACTTCAAGATAAATCTCGAAATGTTATTTATTGAGGATGAATGCAGCACCTTTCCTCTTTAATTTGTCATTCCCTGTACAGTAAACCACTTGATTGATTACAAATGGCAATACCAGTCCATTTCCACCCACTAATGCCTATGATATCAATATTCATGTGTTCTAATCCATTTTTGATAACTTCCAATTTTCCTAGATTCATACTTCATACATTCCATGTTCTGATTATTAAGGGATGTTTGCAACTGTTTCTTCTCATTTTGAGTTGTGCTCCATCAAAAAATGAAGGTTCTGAAAGTTGTGCTCTATTCATAAGTACTGTGTTATAATCAACAGTACTTTTAGGAGGCAGCTCTGTCCCAGTCATTTTTTGAGTGCCTTCCAGTCTGAGGGTTTCATCTTCCTGTACTATATTTGACAATATTCTGCTGGTATTCTTGTGGTTCTCGTTTTCTAGCACTATATTTGACAATGTTGTGCTGCTATTCATAAAGTTTTCAACAGCTAATCATTCAGAAGTCATCCGCCTCTCCTTCTTCCTAGTCTGCCTCTCCTTCTGAAACCTGTCCACCACAGGTGAAGTTCTGCTGAAACTTGTCCACCATAGGTGACCCTGCTGGTATTGAAAAGAGGCATAGCTTTCAGCATCACAGCAACATGCAAGCCTCCCAAGTAAGACAAACTGACAGGTAGAGCGTTCTACCTTATATGATTTAAAATTTTTAAAAAATCCTCAAGCATGAGACTGCTTTTCCTAAAGTTCTTTGGCTTGCTTAACATCTATACATTCTCTCTTAATATTTATAACCATTATTATTCATTTCCTTATTTAAATATTTGAAAACTTTAATAATTTTCAATACATATGAATAAACTCATAATTATTACTATTTATAAGTTTATTCTGGCAAATATTCATATGCATCTTTTATATATCCATATTTTGTACCCTAATTGAGAATTTTAGCATGTAAATAAATGTTGTTGTTGTTAAGTGTTGTCAAGTCGATTCTGAACCTGTATAGGAGCAGCTGCTGAGCTTGAACCCCCCACCTTGCAGTTCAAATGGCTTTGTAGTCTGGTGCATTAACCCACAGCACCACACATAATATGAATTAGAACAAATATGTATATGTGAAATGAAGTATTCATATATGAAAATTAAATCGGAATATCTTGCACTTATGTTACTAATGCTGCTACATTTATGTGGTCACATAATTAGTGATCCTACAAATTCAGAGTGCTAGAAAGAAGTGTAAGCCAATATTTGCTATTCATAGACTATGAACAGCAGATTTTGGCTGTCTATCTAAGCTGAAGCAGAGCTTCAGTGTATTCATAGTGGGTGTTGCAACACATATGTTGTCATCTTCCTACATTTTAGCCACGTTACTTTGGTTCCTTCTCAAGATTGCAATAATTGTATTATACCTGTTGTTGCTAAGTGCCATCAAATCTGTTTAGACTCATGACAGCACTGTATAGGGTTTCCAAGGCAGTAGTAAATCTTTACTCCAGCAGAAAGCCTCATCTTTCACCCATAGAATGGCTGGTGGGCACAAATCTCTGACCTTGTGGTATATAGACCAATGCTTAGCCTACAGAGCAATCCATCTCCCCCTTTTTTTGTTTTTGTTTTTAAGTGCCACGGAGAAAGTTCCGACTAATAGCAACCCAGTGTGGAGTTTCTGAGGCTGTAAATCTTTATCATACTTACTCAAGATAAAATCTCTCTTTTGCTAAGCTGTTCCTTCCCTATTAATATAAACTAACTGCCTCTTAAGTTTCTCATCTAATCTTTTGTGTTGTTGTTATCTGTTTGATCCCATATAGATAGTTTGCTCTGGTAGCGTAGTGGTTACAAATCGGGCTGCTAATCGCACGGTCAGCAATTCGAAACTACCAGCTGTTTCATGGGAGAAAGATGAGACATTCTGCTCTCGTAGAGATTTGCAGCCTCGGAAACCCTGTACAGGGTCACTGAGTCGGCACATAACAACAACAGTGCTTTTGGTCACTGTTCATGTTGTCTTTTACTATCTTAATTATAGCTTGGGCGCAGCTTCTCTTTTAGCTCATAGAATTTTTAGGACAGAGTTTATCTTAAACCTATTATCAGTGAAAACAAAGGTGAGGGAAAGATTATTAAATTTCTGTTAGGTTTAAAATTGATCTCTTTTAGGGATGTAGTGCGTTAGTAAATTTTTAAATTTAATCAATGAAAACATAGTGGGAAATTCCACATTACTCACTGATCATGATTTCAACAAATGTATGGCAGTTACTAGTAACATTTTTGGTTGTTACTTTCTCAATTTCCTTTCTTTTTTGCCCCAGAGTGAATTAAAGGAAACTCCCGTCTTTGGAAACACTTCTTCTTTGAGTTAACCATTTATATTTAGAACTTTCTAAATTCACCAAGTATTTCTGAATATATTCTCTGTATCCACAAAATACAGGAAATATATTTTGGAAAAAAAATAGAAGAGGCTCCCAGTTCTCCTAAGCACTAAGGCAACAAAGAAATTAACACACAATGGTGATAGAGGAATCTCATAGTAAAAGTGAGTACTTTTTCTCTTCCCATTTTCAAAAAAGCTGATAGATTTATAACTAAGAGTTGAAAATATGAATTGATGGTAGTTGTGTAGAGTGAAGATGATAGTGGGAAGGAGGAGGAGATGGAAGGAAATGAGGATGACTTCAGTGAGGAGGAAGGCAACAGATAGATTAAAAAAGACAAGTTAACAGAAACTTCTTGACAAAATGTAGATTGGACCACAAGAGGAGATAAAATATGTAAAAGAGAAATAATAGGGAAAAGAATGAGAATAATTTGGGAAGATTCTTTTGAAGTGAAGAGAGAGAAGAGAGGTGTAGAAAACACACTTAGGCGCATAATGTATCTGAGACTCTGACTGTCTCATTGTTTGCTTCTCTTCAGTGACACAAAAGGATTTGTATTGAGAGGATATTGAATGAAAGTTCTAGAAATATTTAGAACCAATGTAGAAATTCATACTTTCAAAATTGGATTTCTCACTACTTTACTATAGCAAACTTCACTGGGATATTGTACAGTGGTTCTAAAAAACAACTTTTTATGTAACATATCTTGAAAATTTCTTTTATGTCAGTAATACATGATTATTTTCACTACTGTAAAGAATCTCATTGTATAATATTACATAATTTAAACTTTGTACTGTTGATAATACACATGTAAGTATCAGGTTCCAGTGTTAGTGTTTACAATTTCTACAAATAATGCATAAGTTCAATTATATTAATAGAATAGGTCTAAAGATTTCAAATTGTTGTGGCAAACGTAGTGCATTTAAAAACTGATAAATGCTGCTAAATTGATTTTGATTTTTGATTTGTAGTATCAGGAGTAGAATATATATCCTTACTAATAGATCTTATTTTTTCTCAGTCTTGCCAATACTGCATATTTTCAATGTACATTTAAACAATTGATATTTTAGTCTACATTTCCCTGATTGAGCATATTTTTGTAATGGACATTCACATTTTTTTCCCCAGTGAATTTCCTGTTCAAAGTATTGCTTAGTTTTCTAATTGATTTTTAAATTCTTTATAAATTCTGGATATTAGTGTTGTGGCAAGAATGTTTTCAATATGTTCCTCATGTTTTAACATTATTTTAGTTTTTAACAAGGTTTTTGTTTTTATATAGCCAAATGATCTATTTTTATGGCATTTATGGTTTTGATCTTGCTTGTAAAAGCCTTTCCTACTCAAAAATTAAAAAGAAATTGTTTCCAATTTTCCATCTTATTGATTTACTTACCAGTGTGTGCTAAAACTGATTTGTTTAGGGGAAATCTCTAAGCGCTCCTCTAGGTTTGAAATTATTTTTGTTGTTGTTAAATGCTGTTGAGTCGGTTCTGATTCATAGTGATCCTGTATATGGTTTCTGAAGAGTGGATGGTGGGTTTGAACTGCTGACCTTGTGGTTAGCAGTCCAGTGCTTACCCTATAGCACTACACAAGGACTTCTTAAATATTTTAGATGCTCTCATATTTAGCTTGGTGCTTAGAATTGGCTTCCGTAGCTTATGTGACTGAGAAGATCATTTTTCTTTCTGCCCTTTAGAAGCATACCGACATCCCAAGCTGCTTATTTGGATTATTGCTGTAGTTTTCATCTCACTTCTCAGTGCCTGCTTTATTGCAAGTTGTTTGGGTGAGTTATTGGCAAAAGTGGAGCTCTTATAAAGTGTTGTAAGTTGTTTGTCATTTTGATTTCCCTCAACGTATCATTCCATAATGCCTTCAAGATCTTGGATTTAAAATTCAGAGCTACATATTTAGCTTTCTATTCTTTGATGGCTCTATCCTGGGTCAGGGAGTGAAAGATGGACCATCTGTGTTCATGCTGTAGTGAAGCATCCCCCACTTTGGACTGGGACTACAAAAGGCAACATCTTATGAATAAAGAGTAATCAGGAAACTATTAACTTGCAATGAACTTCAACGTATCTTTGAAAAGAAGAACAAGCTGGGAAGACTAGCTTTTCCTAATACCCAAACCTAATATAAGGAGCTCTGGTAGCGTAGTGACTACGAATCGGGCTGCGAACCTTAAGGTCAGTGGTTCGAAACTACCAGCCGCTCCGCGGGAGAAAGATGAGGCTTTCTACTCCCGTAAAGATTTACACCCTCGGAAACCCTGTACAGGGTCGCTATGGGTCGGAACCGACTCGACGGCACTTAACAACAACAATATAAAGTTATTTTAATTAAAATAAGATCCTAAAGGATAGACAAACAGGCCAGAGAAAAAGAATGGAGAGCTTTCATCCCCCATCCGATAGAAGTCTCTAAGAGGCACAGTCCCACTAGTGAGGTACTTTCTTACACCTTAGAACAATCAACAGCAGCATTTAACCAAGGACAAAGTTCAGAAGGCGAGGAAAGAAGGAGAAATTGAGATAGGAAACATATCATAATATGCATAATTAATAAATAGTTATTGTTAGGTGCCATTGAATCAATTTCTACTTATAGTGATCGTGTGTGATAGGGTTGAACTTCCCAATAGGTTTTTCTTAGCTGTGGAGTCCTGGTGTGGCACTGTAGGATAAAGCACTGGACTTTAAAGTTGGCGGTTCAAACTTACCAGCCGCTCCTGGGAAAACCTATACAGGGTTACTATGAGTTGCATCCGACTTGGTGGCACTTAACAACAGCAACAATCTTTATGTAATCAGATTGCCAGGGCTTTCTTCTGCAGAGCCTCTGGGTGGATTCAAATTGCCAACCTTTGGATTACCAGAAGAATTATTATAACCATTATGCCACTGTTGTTGTTGTTGTTAAGTGCCATTGAGTTAGTTCCTGTTCATAGTGATCCTGTATAGGGTTTCCAAGGAGCGGCTGGTGAATTTAAACCGCCAGCCTTGTAGTTCAAACTGACGTTGCTGTCCAGTGCTTTATCCCACAGTGCCACACCAAGACTCCACTGTGCCACTGGTGCTCCTTAATAAAAGATTGTTGTTGCAATGTGCCATGGAGTTGATTTTGACTCATAGTGGCCCCATTTGACAGAGTAAGAACTGTGCAATAAGGATTCCTAGGCTGTAATCTTTACAGGATCACATGCCAGGTCTAATATCTACCAAGCTACTGCTGGGTATGAACCACCAGTCTTTCCAAGTACCTAATCATTGTGATAACAGTGCTCCTTAATGAAGGATTAGTGTGCAAAGTATATAAAAAATACTTTAAATCAATAGGAAGAATACAGATTGCACAACAGAAAAATGGGCAAAGACTTGAATAGGCACTAGACAAAAGAGAAAATTTAAATAATTAACATGTAAACAAGTCTCAACCCTGTTAGTTATCAGGGAAATGCAAATTCAACTCAGATTGAGTTACAATCATAAACACACCAGGATGGGAACAATGAAAAACGTGCTACTGAATATTGACGATGCTATGAAGTAACTAGACCTAGTGTGTTGCTGCTTATGTGAGGGCTGAGTGGTGTAACCACTTTGAAAAATTTGACTCTGTCCAATCCTGCTCTGCGCACATGGGGGTACAGTAGGGAGTTTGCTCATGTGCTGTAGTATGCATATTCAAAAATGCTCGTAACAGCATAGTTCACAATAGTAACAAACTGGGGATTATCTATGGGGAATGGAATAGATAGTGCATTAAGGTAATAGATCGCTTTACAACAATGACAATGGGTGAATTAGAGCTGCATGCTGCAACATGGGTACATTTTAGGAATAAGATGCAGAGTGGAAGTCAGACCTAAATGAATATAAGCTGTATCACTGCATTTCAGTAAAGGTCAAAATCAGGTGATTTGGATCTAAATGGTTTAGGGATATATTGTTAAGTGGTGAAATTTTGAAGCAAAGCACAAAAGTGATTATTTAAAAAGCTCAGGGGTCATTCCCTTTAAAGAGGAGGAAGTGGATTGATTGTGTTTGGGGTATGGTTCTGTTTGGCAAGGTTCTGTTTCTTGACTTGAATATTTGTTATCAGTATCAGAAGTGCTTTTTTTATAATAATTTGTTAAACTATACATTTATGCTTTTTCACTTTTCTATGTTTAATTATATTAAAAAATAAACAAAAAGTCTTACAAAACTTTGCAGAACAATTCCAGTGTTCACCTAAAATATCCACTCTAACACAAATTCAGATACAAAAATATGCTTAAAAGTACAAGCACATGAAGATCTGCACAGCTATCCTTATGAAACACAAAATGAGCAATCTGATAAGAAAAATATTAATTTTCAATGAAACGTTTCCAATCAATTCACTGAGAGCTGGAACAAAGAAGTTGAGTGAGAATAAAAGAGAATATGGGAGCCTTAGGTGTCCTGGTGTGGCACTATGGAATAAGCACTGGACTACAAGGTAGGTTTGAACTGCAAGGCCAGCAGCTCAAACCCACCAGCCACTCCTCAGAAACCCTATACAGGGTTGCTGTGAGTTGGAACCAACTCAATGGCACTTAACAACAACTATTATGGTGTAATCAATCCCTGGTGGCACAAAGGATTATGGTGCTTCACTACTAACTGAAAGGTTGGTGGTTCAAGTCCACCCAGACATATCTTGAAAAAAATGTCTGGAGATTTACTTCCAATAAATCAGCTATTGAAAACCCTATGGAGTGCTCATCTAGTCTGATGCATCTGGGGTTGTTAGAAATCAAAATCAGACTCAATTCAATGGCAAGTAGTAATGGTAAGGAAAAAGTAACTATTATGGTAAGAGAATTTCCTTAATTAAGTGACTGTATCGGGAAGGAAATAAACTTGTTTTCTTCCTTGTCAGTGACTCATCACAACTTTCTACGCTGTGAAGCAGGTCCCAGAAAATTCAAGTTACCAGATTACTACAGCAAGCTGACTTGTACTGGAAAGAATTCAGAACTGAAAGGTACAGAAAGCAGAGAGCATATAAGAAGTTTTCTTATTTTTATTTCCATTCCAACTCATAATCTCATTTAAAGAATATCAGTAGTAAACTAGGAGAGATTAAAAGATCATAAAATGAGGATCTGACACAAAGAATTAAATTAGGATAGAATTCTTTCTCATGCTTGTATTTAGTTGAATAACTGTAGACTATATGGTAGCGAACCGGACTGCAAGCCGCAAGGTCAGCAGTCCGAAACTACCAACTGTTCTGCGGGAGAAGGATGAGGCTTTCTGCTCCTGTAAAGATTTACAGCCTCAGAAACCCTGTACAGGGTCACTATGAGTCGGAACCGACTCCACGGCACATAACAACAACAACAATAATACATTTATGGGCTATTTTTTATATTAAAAACGAAAACTAATTCAATTCCATTTTCCCTTGATTCATACATAACATAAGGACAGTTTTCTCCTAGAATATATAGCTTTGCTGAAATGCCTGTCTCTTTTAATACTCTGGAATTTGTAAAGTCTTACTGGGGAGAAGGAAATGTTTGATAGTTTGGGCAGGTTCTTTGCTCCCTTCAGATAAAAGGCCCTGTACAAAGTCTTGTTATAAAAACACTTAAAATATGAAACTAAAATAGATGTTGTTGCTGTTGTTGTTAAGTGCCATCCAGTTGGTTCCAACCCATAGGGTTTCTGAGGAGCAGCTAGTGAGCTTGAACTGCCGACCTTGTGGTTAACGCAGTTCAGCGCATTAACCCACAGATGTAGGGGTGTTGAATCATGATCATGTCTGCTAAGACAGTACTTCCTAATTATCTCATAGTCATTCTGTGATACAAATGCTTCTGCTTAGAAGAGATTTAGAATTGTAATTTTCAGGAATTTTGAGGAAGGAGCATGCTTTTGGTAATCTTGGGCTTATTTCCACAGTGGTAAACTGGATACTAGGAACTCTGGTAGTGCAGTGGTTACAAATTGGGCTGCTAATCTCACAGTCAGCAGTTTGAAACTATCAGCTGTTCCTCAGGAGAAAGATGAGGCTTTCTGCTCCCATAAAGATTTACAGCCTCAGAAAGCCAATACAGGGTTTCTATGAGTTGGAACCAACTCCACTGCACATCACTACCTCCACCATCAGACTGGATACTAGGCAGAAAACGATTTACCCAATCTGTTACAGGTGAAATGCTTCTTGTAACTATTTTTCTTTCAATTTTCACCTGAGGGCTCACCTGGAATTGCTGTCCTGCTGGCTGGAGAGTCTTCCAGTCTAATTGCTATATTTTTCTTACTGACAACAAGACCTGGCATGAGAGTGCACAGAACTGTACAGGGATGGGAGCCAACTTAGTGACCATCAGCACAGAGGCCGAGCAGGTATGTTGGGGGCTCACATCAGCATCCCTCTGCTGGTATGAATTTCTTTGTAGAGCAAGAGAGATTGTTAGGCTTCAATCTATTCCATTTGCCTGGAATGCTTTACCCTGCTCTCCCATTTTTCTTCATATGGTCAATGTTTTCTGGCTTTTGAAGATTTGATACAGGAGTTATTCCAGAAAACTTCTCGACCACGATCCCACTTTCTCTACACCACTTTGTCTAACCTAAGTTAGAGGTATTTTCATGATACTTTTTGGCAGTTAACTCCAGCAGACTCTAAGTGTGTATTCCCTACTCATCTCTTCCATGGGTTCTTACACTGAGGAGACCCAGGGCCATACCCTACTCATCTTTGCATCCCCAATATTCTGGTCAATGAATAGGTCTTGATAAGTATTTTGTGAGTAAGTGAATAAATGAATAATTAATCAGAACTAAAGAATCATGTCATGATAAAGCATAGGAAAAGAACTCAGGTATATGGTTCTAATTCTAAATGAGGAGATCTCAAAGTAAATTTAAATTTATTTTTAAAATAGTAAACTAAAATTGATTTCTTCATGTAATTTATTTTTGTATATGTAACATAAACCAGAGTCTATTCTTGGTAGCAGGCTTTCCTGGAGAATTCTGTCTCCACAGTTTTTCAGCCCACAGGTTCACAGGTTCATTGAATAAAATGGAATTTAATGAAATACAAAAGCAAATGAAGGTTTTTAAAACAAAAGCTCCTAAAAATCCAACCCTAATAAACATTGGGTTAAGAGGTTTATAAGTATGATCTCTATTAACCCTATGGAATAGTGAGGTTGTCCCTGTTGTAGATGAGAAAACTGGGGTTTGGTGAGATTAAAGCACTTCTTAATTTTACTTATCAAATGATACAGGCAGAATTTGAAAACAGATCTGTCTGATGCCAAAGATTTGACACTTAATCAGTTATCTATCTGACCTTCTCCCCCTTTCTCCAACATAACAGCCATTACTTGATTAAGTAAAATATATTTATAAAATTTTATATTTTTTATAATAATAATTTATTGGCAATTTTGTTGATGAATTAGTTGATATGAAAGGAACTCAGTGGAGGATTATACTCATGGAAATTTTACCTTTTTTATGCAGAACTTTATTATTCATTTTTTGGATAGACAGTTTTCCTATTTCCTGGGACTTACAGATGAGAACACTGAAGGCCAGTGGCACTGGATGGATGGCACGCCATTTAACCCAAAGGTGGTGTAAGTATATATACTGGGACTAGAGGATCAGTACTGGACTGTGAATCACAAGGTTGGCAGTTCAAACCCACCAGCTGCTCCTTGAGAACCCTACCACCATGATTTGGAACCAACTTGACAGCATTTAACAACAACAACAACAACAGCCACAAGTGAATTGGGACTATTGTACTGGACAGTGCAGTTTTCAATAGTTCACCTGGGGGATTTTCTGTACGTTGTCACTGACCTATGATTTTGCTTTCTTTTCTCTTTCCTTTTAGATTCTGGCATAAGGGTGAACCCAACAACTACAAGAAAGAACACTGTGTTGTCCTTGTTAATGCAGAAAATAAATGGGCCTGGAATGATGTTCCTTGTCGCCTGAAGACAAGAAGAATTTGTAAGATACCTGGAATGGTACTAAACTAGAAACCTCTGAAGTGGTCCTCGTGATGGGGTGATGCGGACAGGAAAGAAGAACTAATTGCATTAAGATATGGTGTGCACACATGCTTGTAATAGAGAACACGTGCTGGATCATAAAACATTTTTGGTCTTGATGGCCTTGTAGATCTTTGTTCAATTGACTAGAGACTCTGTGGTTTTGCATAGCATTTCAGCGGAAGGAATCATCTTGTCTGTGGGATCTGGGTTTTATTATCTTTATTTTCCTGATACAATTTCACGGTATTTACTTCTCAATTGGAGTCCTGGTGTGGGTAGAGCTGTGGGTTCATGTGCTGGACTGCAAGGTCAGTTTGAACCGCAAGGTTAGTGGTTCAAGCTCACTAGCCATTCCTCGAAAACCCAACACAGGGTTGCTATGAGCCTGAACTGACTCAATGGCACTTAACAACAACATCTTTTCAATTGGTGTGCACCGATTCCATATCTAAGACAATGACTTAACACCATCTCTGTCATTTTCTCCTGCTTAGATTTTCCAATTCAAAGGTGAGATTTTCTGACTGGCAGTAGTACACCATTTCTTACCACGAATATCCCAAGCCCTTTAAAAATAAAAATAAATAAATAAACTTGTTATTGTTTGATGCTTCATTTTCTGACTTTTAAATAATTGCCACTAGTAATATTGACATTTCATGAAAAAACAGTTCCTAAAATAGTGTAGAATAATTTTGAATTATGGAATTGCATTGGTCCATGTATGTTATAAAAAATTAACTACCTTTTCACCCTAGATGTCTTCTAAAAGCCACACAAGCTACCTTAAGCAGATTTCTTCAGTTCTATAGTTGAGGAGACAAAACCCTAGAGAAGCCAAGGGTTCAACTTCACATTGCCAGTCATGACAGAACTAGGACTATGAACCAGATATACCGTTTCCTCAGGGTGAAATACATTCTCTTGGTTACTACAGGAAATTAACTGAGGTGACTTAGCTTCTTTATTTGGCTAACAGATAAAATGTTCTTAATAATTTGAAGTAGTAACATGTTTGTGCTTTCATGTTAGGGTTGAATCATATTCAGAACCGTTTATATATATTGCTATCATGTTTTTTAGAGCTGTAAACCTGTAGTCCAAACTAACAAGGAAGGCATTGTTTTAACAACCTAAAATGCTACTTTTTTGATGTCTGGAGTAGTCATTTTGCAGCAGCTGCATTCAATTCACCAGATTAGTGTTGTCTGTCATAAAACTCTCAATTTGCTTATGCTTCCTGATCTAAGCAGAAATACTGTTAAGCAGCAGCATTTTAAAGCGGACTTTCTTAATACCATTTGAACTATTTATTTTGGAAGTTGTTGTTATGTTCCATTGAGTCAGTTCTGGTTCATACCGACCACGCATAGGGTTCCAGAGACTGTGCATCTTTTCGGGAGCAGAAAGTCTCATCTTTCTCCCCTGGAATGACTGGTAGACTCAAACTGTTGATCTTGTAGTCTGCAGTCCAGTACTTATTGTACAAAGCTACTGCATTTCCATTAGTTAGTGATTATCTGAGTTAAGAATAATGTTGTGTGTGTGTCTGTGCACTTTTAACTGCAGTAACATTTAGTGACTTTAAATGTCTTTGTTAGAGTCATTAATTACTTAGCACAAAATGTATGAAACCCGCTGAGGTAACTTTTTGTAAACATTAATGGGAGCTCTGGTAGCGTAGTGGTTACAAATCGGGCTGCTAACCTCAAGGTCGGCAGTTCGAAACTACCAGCGGTTCCGTGGGAGAAAGACGAGGCGTTCTGCTCCCATAAAGATTTACAGCTTTGGGAACCCTGTACAGGGTCACTATGAGTCGGAACCGACTCCACGGCACTTAACAACAACAAATGGGTTGTGTATATTTAATACTCTTCATTTATAGTATATAAATGAGAGGTATTCTTTGATTTTATACACCTATATCTGTATTCTGTTTCTCCTAATGACGATGATTTTTCATGTTCTCCATTGTTACCATCATAATCCCAACAACTTCCTCTCCTGGATTATTGCAGCAGTCTTCTGAATGAGCTCCCCTGCTCCCTTTCAGTTTATTCTCAACTCTATGGCATATCTCCTAGTCTTCAAAGTGTTTTTTGTTTTTTTAAGTAAAACTGAGTTTTATTGAAAATTGAGTTTCAAGATTCTAAGCCCAAAATCCATGCTTTTCCTAAATTTTATCATTAATAATAGTCTGTGGATTCATATGCCTTTTCTAAAAAATGGCTATATTGAGATAGAATAAGCACATCATACAATCCACCAATCTTAAGTGCACAACTGAATGATTTTTAATATTTTCATAGATATGTACAACCATACCACAGTCAATATTAGAACATTGTACGCTTTCTGCTCAGAAACTCTATAGGGTTTCTGAGACTATAAATCTGAGGCCTCATCTTTCTCCTGTGGAACAACTGGTGAGTTTGAACTGCTGATCTTTCTGTTAGCAGTCTAATACTTATCCTACATCACCATAGGACTCCTTCTATCTCTATAAAAATCACTGCTATGGTAGCTCAGCCTTCGGTATGGGTTGCTTCTCAATGTCAAGAAAACAAAAATCCTCACCACTGGACCAATAAACAACAGTCTTATCAACGGAGAAAAGATTGAAGTTGTCAAGGACTTCATTGTTCTTGGATCAACTATCAACACTCACAGAAGCAGCAGGCAAGAGATCAGACGACATATTGCACTGGGCAAATCTGCTGCACAGGAACTTTTTAAAGTATTGAAGAGCAGAGATGTCAGCTTGAGGACTAAGGTGCGCCTGACCCAAGCTATGGTATTTTCAATAGCCTCATATGGATGCGAAAGCTGGACAGTGAATAAGGAAGATCATAGAAGAATTGATGCCTTTGAGTTGTGGTGTTGGAGGAGAATACTGAAAGTGCCATGGACTGCCAAAAGAACCAATAGATCTGTTTTGGAAGAAGTGCAGCCAGAGTACTCCTTGGAGACCAGGATGGCTAAGCTTCGTCTCTCAAACTTTGGACATACTGTCCGAAGGGAACAGTCGCTGGAGAAGGATGTCATGCTGGGTAAGGTGGAGGGTCAGAGAAAAAGGGGAAGACCCCTAACGAGATGGATTGGCCAGGTGGCATCATTGATGGACTCAAGTGTGGCAGTGGTAGTGAGGTTGGCCCAGGATCGGACATTGTTTCGTTTTGCTGTGCATGGGGTCACTATGAGTCGGTCCCAACTTGATGGCACATGACAACAACAACATGGTAGCTCAAAAGAGGAAACAAATCTTTATAGTGAGGATCATTCCCACACCTTCCATACACAGGGTAGACAGCGATGGGCAACTTGGATATTGGCTACCTAAAATGGGGTGACGGGGGGGGGGCGCTACAAAGGCAAGAAATGACTGTCTTACAAGTTTTCAAGAGGGAGCCTAGATCCAGAGGGCTCAGAGGAAGGTAGACTCTCCACTGAGTAGTATCTAATCTGTCTGGGCGAGGCTAATGAAAGGAAATGGGGATCAGACTCTTGTGGTACAATACTGAATAATTGCTATTGGAACTGACTGTGAGGGTTGGCAATGTAAAGGTAGACAATTTGTAGCAAAAAGAGGGGAGTGGTTGACTTTTCAGTCCAGGAGCAGAGATCCCTGGGACCATTAAGGAGAAGAGCAGAGTGCGGGACCCTACCCAGAGAAACAGTGACCTCAGAGATGGAGGCAGAGCCAATGATGTGGAGAGATGGAGTGGTTGGTGACTCTAGACCCAGAGAGGGAGAGTGGATGTGTGCTGACAACCCAGGGGCAGGCTTGCAGGGTATACCCTTTGGTTGGTTGATGATGCATGGAGGGGATTGTAACCATTGCAATGGAACGATATACGATAGGATGAATGTAAAACTAATGTTCTCCCCTGTAAACTATCAAATAATTCACAATAAAACATTAAAAAAAAATTACATGGACCCTCAGCTACCCTATGTATAGTTTCCAAGGCTGTGAATCTTTATGGGAGTAGAAAGTCTCTTCTTTCTTCCACAGAGCGGCTGATGGATTTGAGCTTGCAGTTAGCAGCCCAGCACATCACCCACTATGCCATCATATGGACTCTTTCTTAGCTATAGATTCCTTATTTCATATGAATGACATCATATAGCATGTTGTCTTTCATGACTAGCTTCTTTCACTTAGCATAATGTTTTCAAGTTGTGGTGTATGTCAGTACTTCATATAAAGAATATTCCATTGTATGGATAGATCACATTTTGCCTATTAATTTGTTCACTGATGGACATTTGAATTATTTCCACTTTTTGAGTAATGCTATTTCCACCTTTTCAGTAACTCATATACACGTTTCTATAGAAGCATGTTTTTATTTCTCTTAGATATATACAAGGGGACTTTAAAAAAGTTTGTGAAAAAATGAAAATTAAAAGATAATGGAGTTCTCATGTAAACTATCCCTCAGTTCACAATAAAAACTTAAAAAAAAAAAAGTGCTATGAACTGTAGAAGAACAAATAAATTTACGTTGGAAGAAACACCATCAAATGTTCCTTGGGGAACTAGAATGGCAAGACTTGGTCTCTCATA